TCGTTTTGCCTGCCTGTCTTTATATACACTGACTATGCGTGCTCGCAGATCGCCGCCCGGCAAGCGATATACGGACTGTGCGCGACCAACGTCGCATCAGTGGCGCTTCCCTAGGTTCCGCTCCCATGGTTTCCGAACCGGCTGTTAAGCTGTCATTGGGCCCGCACTTTAGCGCCTGGAAGTGCGGGGTTTCGATCCTGTACTCGGTTTACGCAAAAGTCGTCGCCGCTTTCCTCTTCGAGTACGACGATCCCAGCGGCGCATAGGCGATGCGAGAGGAGCGCTGCATGTCGAAAACTTTGTCGCCCTTTCTTCTCTCACGACAGATGGAAAACTTGGGCCTGCGGAGCCCAGCTCAAGCGCCGGTCGACCAAAGATGCAGGTGGGGGTTCTGCTCAAGATGTTAACTCTTCGCTGACTGCTCGCGGTCCCTCCTCTCTCCTCTCCTCTCACCGTCATCAGCTATCCAGTTCTCTACTCGGCATGAGGAAATCGTCCCGCCCAATCCTAAATGATCTTGACGAAAGGAACTTAGGTATGTTCATGTTACCAGCCCCTTCGACCTTCATCAGCTGATGCATCTTGTTCGTCTTCAAGAGCATCGTGTCAGACTACGCGCGTTCGGCTCTCGCTATGCTCGTCCGTCCGGCGCCAGAACTGGCACCCGCGCTCCTAACACAGACACTCTCATCACAACGACCTCTATCCCACACGCGAGTGGCGCCGCAGCGGGCGAGATTCTCATCGAAAGCGAGACACCTGGATCTCGTGGGCCGGGGACATCCCAGAACGCTGACGATGCGCATACTCCATTGGCATCATCGCCCTCGGCTCTCCGTCGCTTACTCGGATGGATTCGACGCTCAAGAGCCTTCAAACCCTTTTTGAAGCGACCGTCGCCTGAGTCGCGCGGCCTCGAACCTACGAACATCGCACATATACCGGGAGCCCGACGCTAGACTGTCAGGCAATCATGACCTATGAAGGTCTTCGGAAGGCAGACAACCATGCGGGCGAGAGCTAGATGTCTGTCACGGTCAGTATGCACAAGTTATCTACATCACACTGTACCACGAGCTACCGAAACAGACTGTCCATCGCAAGCATTGGCGAGACTGGGGAGGTTATGGCATGCCTGATCTCAGCACTTTGTCTGCAGGAAGAAAGGACTCGTGAGGCTTGCTCGCTGATTGTCGGCTGCGGAATTCTAAGCGCGCCATCAAAGGCTCTTCGTCCCCATCGGATAAGTTTGTGTAAGCTGAACTCGCTATGAACGCAGGATCTACATGATAATGTGGTGCTGTTGAACTTTGTTGACGCCTTGTTGACAGGACTGGTCAGGACACCGTTCAGCAAAGCTCTATCCTCGGATCCTTGATCCTCATCATGTACAGTTTTCGGTGACGGCTACTATCAGAACAGGCAGGAAATCGTGGTAATTGAAATCGTCAGACAAAGGATACATGAGGGTATATATGAGCACAGGTACAAGACTGTAACACGAAGGTGCTGAGAAAGATGATAGTAGACCACGCAGAGGCCTAGTCATTCCGCCGTTGGATCCAAACAAGGCATCACCCCTGCAAGGCTCACAAGGCCAGTCCCGTCAGTGCAACCACAGCCCCAACAACCGCCCCTCCAGCCAACTGCGCCAGCCCACGAGTACTGTTATGAACGACCCTAGTGAATTCCTCCTTCTCCAACCTTTCACACACCCCTTCCACGGCGATACTATCCGTGCCAACGATGAGCAATGCTTCATCTTTCTGAGCATCCCTGTACGAGGCAACCGAGGCCATAAGGAAGCCAGCTTTCTCTGCAGATGGCTGAATGCGCTCGACAACTGCAGCGGGGACAGTATAAACGGATACTGGTACGTGCGTAGTGACGCGATCGAGGTCGTCCAGGAAATTTTCTCGCGCAATCATGCTCATAGAGCGCGCAAGCACGCGCGGCCCATGGGTGGCGGGTTCAATGATAAGCGACGATTCGCTCGAATGTTGAAAGCTTTCTCCATCTCCGGCTCCAGACTCGTCAGATGGACAAGTTTGCGTGCGCGAGCCAGACGGGAGACCAGGAGGTCTGGATACAAGGTCGCGTGCGGTACCGGGCATAGGGCATCCTCGCTCGCTGCGGGCGTTCGCTCTCACAGGGGAATCATTAACCTCTGTAGACCAGGAGCGGGGAGCTGTGGTAGATGTGCCCCCAATATCCGCATCAAGACGAAGAGAGCCAAAGGCGTTTGTCAGATGAAGGTAAAGAGCGTCCGGCGCTTCCTCCACGGGTATATCCGGGCAACGCTGACGCGAATGACCCTTGCGAGGCCTTCTACACGTTCTGCAGCAAGGGGGCTTTCTCGCTTTAGGGATAGCAGAGGGTGTCGGGGGGACAGTCTTCGGCGAGTTGGTAGGAACACGAGAAGCAGCGCGGGTTACTGGTGTCATGGGCTTGTCGCATAAACAAATACGAGAAACGGAATGTGTAGATGGGTGCAAGTATTAGTCTGGGTTGACTCTGTCGAGGCTGAAGCTGAAGCTGAAGGACACGATTGTTGTCAGGTCCAACTTCAACTTCAGCGCTATGGACCGGATCCCGAACCGAGCCAACGTTCTCACCATCCAAACGAACCTGAACATTAGCGTTCACTACTCGACTCAACCCTCGCAAAGCCTGATGTGGCATTCAATTACCAGCGTGACCAATGGTCATACTACTATGGCAAGCATTCTATCGCCAGTACATTCGCCAGAGCGATTTAACATAGATAGTCATGAGCGGGTCTAGAGCTGTGTGGGAGAGACAGAACTCCATAGACAGCATACGTCATCCGCATCAATCATCCGGGCTGTACTAGCGACCGGCGGACACGCGGCGCACTCAATCCTGACTTCCTACAACGGGGCTGCAACATTGTCTCCAATGCAGACTCCTGATATCAGCGAACCAAAGTGATGCGGACGGGGGTCTGTATCAGGACTGCAACCTGGCCATGGGTAGTTCCCGTGGCTTGAGCAATGAGTCTTCCTCGAATATACTACACACGGGACACGCTCGGCCGGCGTGACTGATGGCGTCTATCACTCGATCGGCAGCGCTGAATCTGCGCTGGAAGTCATACCAGATATAGAGGTGCTGGTTGGAAAACTTGGCGCAAGTGCGTAGGTTATATCCACTCTACCCACTCTTCATTGGGCCTGCTCAGTAGAGAGAGATGCTGTGCTCACGCTCGTTGTTCGGGTGCCTATCATGTGCCTAGTTGGTGCACCGTAGCTGCTCACTTGATTCGTGACTTGGGATAGATGAAGAATGCAGTACCGACAGTCGAGTCTTGTTTCTCGCGAAACGTTCTCATGCTCCGGCTCCTCAGATATATAAAGACGTCCCGACCGTCTACAGTTGGGGTATCGAAACAACTATCGGCGCCATGACTGAAGGCCCGCACGCGACTCATGAGTACGAGGTCAGTACCGTCACCACTATGCTGCGTCATACTTTCTAATGTATGGTCAGGTTCGCGGAAAGAAAGTTTTCCATAAAGGGCTGAACGACATAACATCCATCCCGTCCTCCGTCCCCTGGCCAGTCAACGCGTCAGTGAACTCGCATCGCTCCGCTTATCGAACACTGAGTATCAATCGGTCTATTACAGCATCCACGTCCTAACTCACAAATATGGGAGGTTCCCAGCACGTCGGGATCCCATCATGACCGATCTCACCGTATGCTCTCGTTCAAATGACGCGATGCTCGACGTTCTATCCAGGGTCTCCGCTATAGTGAAGGCTGTACAGCTCGTCCCAGGTCAATACGATGCTATGATGGCACGGCCGAACTCGCCTCATCTGGAGCCCCTCATCCAGTTTCTTGGGCAACGTGCTGAAGAGGAAGTCATCGCCGGTACCCAGTTACAGCTCAGGGACAAGCTTCACCGAGGCGATCTCCGTGTGATGCGTCACTATCACACAGGAGCCGGATACGTTCAACTGCGCTTTCTAGTGGCGCAGGGACTTAATGTCTTCTACGCCGCGATCACAGAGAACTATGCCATCCTGGAGGGCAATGAGTACGCATTGTCTTCTCAAAGTGTTCACGATTGCTGAAACGAGCTTCAGGTTCGTTCCCGATACCTTCTACAGCGACTTTAACATTACGCATTGAGCGTAGTCGCCCTACGGATGTCATGACATCGTGCTCTCGATTTGTCCACATTATCAAAGAAGGAGGTCGAGGATCGATTCCTCGCTTCGTAGTGTTTCGTGTGCTATATTGACGAGTTGCATAGCAAGGGGATGATCAATATGAGGTATCTGAAGGGGCTACTGCGTGAACGACAACTGTAGCGTGTGCGAGGGAATATATTTGAGGGCAAAGTCGCGAGCAATACAGAGGCATCTGTACATAGCTAAAGGAATCAGTACGACTGTCGAAGACATAGAGCGAGTAACATACTGGCGACGACCTAGCGTGCGTCGGTGTCGACAAGATGGTGCGACCATCACGCCCAACACAAAGCTACGGTGACTATCACGTTGTCAAAGAGTACTGAGTCAGAGCAGTCAAATTCATGGGAGAAAGGGAGCCGGCGCGCACGGCGAACAGTCACGGCGGGAGGAGGCAAAACGCGTGCCCTCCGCAATGAACTTCGGCACCACACACTTATGGTCAGCGACATGATAGCGGATCGCCGTCTCGGCAGCAACGAGAACAGCTGGACAAATGGAGTTGGGATTCGCGAAGACAAGGGAAATATTACGACGTGCGCAAAGTCAGCGTACGAGATCGAACACGCCAACGTGCAGAGAGAGCGCGGCGAGGGGTCCGAAGGCGGGTTGAGGCGGGGGCGTGGGAGGGTGTTTGGCAAAGGGCGAACCCGGCTAAGCGCGGAAACGGCAGCGCTCCCGAACCGCCATCTTGAGCTCGCCTGGGACCCACGCTCCAACTATGTCAGAGCAC